AACTTGGGAGCCAGCCGGAACTCCGTTCCTGTGCGTTCCTGCCCAAAAATAGCCCTGCTTGCACTTATGATTTTTAAAGTGCTATTTTAAGAAGGGTGATTATTCTAGCTATAAACTGCCCCTCAGCAAGAGGAGGGGTCTGAATTCTAACACCCATACTCTCAATGACTGTGCCATGGAGTTAGGCCTGCCAAGTCCCCCCGAGGGGCGGGGAAACCCCAGCCCCAGAGGCCCGTTCCCCGCCGCCAGCGGATCGGGCCCCGGGGGGAACCCCACCCCCAAAGCACGTGATGTGCACGTCACCCGGAAGTGACGCGACCACGCCGGGCACGCTGGGGGCGGGGCCACAGTCATCTGAGGGAAAACTCTATGGTTTCCCCTCAGATGATCGTGGCCCCGCCCCCAGCGTGCCCGGCGTGGTCGCGTCACTTCTGGGTGACGGGGTTGCGGTGTGTGTGCACTTTGTGTGCGTGCACTCCTGGAGCATCGCTGGAGTCCCCCATTCCAGCATTGATCCAACTTGGGAACCCTACATGGAGTAGATGGTCACAGAACCTCCCAGGGGAGAGGCGATTCTGGACTTTGCCCTAAATTGATGTCCAAGACCTGGTGAGAGATGTAAATGTGATAGCACCCATTGGGAACAGTGACCATAATGTTATTAAGTTCAACATTTATGTAAATGAGTTGCCCAAAAAGACCAATGCAACCACATTTAACTTTAGGAGGGGTAACTTCTCTCAAATGAGGAGGCTTGTGAAGAAGAAATGGAAAGGAAAAGTAGGGAGGGTCAAATCCCTTCAGGAAGCTTGGAGACTGTTTAAAACTACAATCCTAGAAGCTCAGATAAAATGTATGCCAGAGGTCAGGAAAGGTACAAATAGGTATTTAAAAAGGCCTGCATGGTTAACTAACAAAGTAATGCAAGCCGTAAAGGGTAAGAAGGAGTCCTTTTAGCTGTGGAAGGCTAGTCCGAGTGAGGTAGATAAAAGGGACGGGAGCACAGGCTGTGGCAAATAAAATGCAGGTCGGTGATCAGACAGGCAAAAAGGAACTATCAGGAACATATTGCAAAAAACATAAAAGACCAACAATAAAAATTTCTTCAAATACATTAGTAGCAGAAAACCAGCCAGGGAGGCAGTGGGGCCCTTGGTTAAAAGGATTAGCAAAGGATGATAGGGAAACGGACGAGAAGCTGAATGCATTTTTTGCCTCTGTCTTCACTGTGGAAGATGGGAGGTGCTCGCCCACTCCAGAACTGCTGATTTCAGGAGGGGTGTTGAAAGACCCGAGTCAGATTGAGGTGACGAGAGAGGAGGTCCTATGACAGATGGACAAATTAAAAACTGACAAATTACCAGGCCCAGATGTTATACATCCACGAGTTCTGAAAGAATTCAAATGTGAACTTGTGGCTGTCCTGACAAAAATATGGAATCTATTAAATCTGCCTCCATTCCTGAGGACTGGAAGGTAGCTAATGTAATCCCCATCTTTAAAGAAATTTCCAGAGGAGATCCAGGAAATTACAGGGCGGTCAGTCTAACGTTGATACCAGGTAAGTTGGTGGAATCTGTTATTAAAGATAGAATTAGTAGGCACATTGATGAACAAAAGCTACTGAGGAAGAATCAGCATGGATTCTGTGAGGGAAGATCTTGTCTCACTATCATGTTAAAGTTCTTTGAGGGGGCAACAAACATGTGGACAGGGGTGACCCAATAGATGTTTACCTAGACTTCTAGAAAGCTTTTGATAAAGTTCCTCATCAAAGGCTCCTAAGTAAACTCAGTAGTCATGGGATAGGAGGACAAGTTCTCTTGTGGATTAAAAACTTGTTAAATAACAGGAAGCAAAGAGTAGGAATCAATGGACAGTTCTCACATTGGAGGGAAATAAGCAGTGGGGTCCTACAAGGATTGGTCTTGAGGCTGGTACTATTTAATTCATTCATAAATGAGCTGGAACTAGGGTTGAGTAGTATAGTGGCCAAGTTTGCAGATGACACAAAAGTATTCAGGATGGTGAAAACCAAGACTGGCAGTGAAGAGCTTCAACAGGATCTCCACAAACTTAATAATGAAATGAAGTTCAGTGTTGGTCAGTGTAAGATGATGCACATTGGGACAAAAAAAAATCTTAGCTTCAAGTATAGGCTAATGGGGTCTGAACTTGCTGAG